ACTAATTTGCGACGATGAACGTGCACGACAAAATTTTCATTAATCTAAAACTAGGCTTAGTAATCTGCGACGATGAACGTGCACGACAAAATTTTCATTAATCTAAAACTAGGCTTAGTAATCTGCAACGATGAACGTGCACGACAAAATTTTCATTAATCTAAAAACTAGGCTTAGTAATCTGCGACGATGAACGTGCATGACAAAATTTTCATTAATCTAAAAACTAGGCTTAGTATTCTGCGACGATGAACCTGCACGACAACATTTTTATTAATCTGAAACTAGGCTTAGCAATCTGCGACGATGAACGTGCACGACAAAATTTTCATTATTCCTAGCATTGCACAAGTAACCTCGGATGGACCAAGAGTGTTTGTTAGAAATAGTAACTTACATTTTATAAGCGGGTAACTTACCGTCAACACAACCCTGTGGTTCCAAAACCTTTCCTCTAGCACAACGATCACACTTCATCCCATCAACGTTAGGTTTACAAACACACCTTCCCGTTGTCTGTTCACAGTCGTCACGAACCGATCCGTATTCATTACATCCGCAGCCTAGCAGATCAAGAAAGTTGTTTGTTATTTGAAATCAAATCAAATGTAGAATAAATTAACTAATAACATTTTGGTCAATATCTTCGTCATGTTATTACTTAGTCATTCACAGTAAATATGATGTCGCTTGGTAAACAGTCCAGTTAGAGTAAACATGTCACTCGTTAAATAGTACATTCACAGTAAACATATCACTTGGTAAACACTCCAGTCACAGTAAACATATCACTTGGTAAACACTCCAGTCACAGTAAACATATCACTTGGTAAACACTCCAGTCACAGTAAACATATCACTTGGTAAACACTCCAGTTACAGTAAACATATCACTTGGTAAACTCCAGTCACAGTAAACATATCACTTGGTAAACTCCAGTCACAGTAAACATATCACTTGGTAAACTCCAGTCACAGTAAACATATCACTTGGTAAGTTCCAATCACACTAAACATATCACTTGGTAAACTCCAGTCACAGTAAACATATCACTTGGTAAGTTCCAATCACACTAAACATATCACTTGGTAAACTTCAGTCACAGTCAACATATCACTTGGTAAACACCCCAGTCACAGTCAACATATCACTTGGTGAACTCCAGTCACAGTAAACATATCACTTGGTAAACACTCCAGTCACAGTAAACATATCACTTGGTAAACTCCAGTCACAGTCAACATATCACTTGGTAAACTCCAGTCACAGTCAACATATCACTTGGTAAACTCCAGTTACAGTAAACATATCACTTGGTAACCTCTAGTCACAGTCAACATATCACTTGGTAAACACTCCAGTCACAGTCAACATATCACTTGGTAAACTCCAGTCACAGTAAACATATCACTTGGTAAACTCCAGTAACTAAACATATCACTTGGTAAAATCCAGTCACGGTAAACATATCACTTGGTAAACTCCAGTCACAGTAAACATATCACTTGGTAAACTCCAGTAACTAAACATATCACTTGGTAAAATCCAGTCA